CGGCAGATACAGCTCCAGTGGACCTTTTTGCTCCTCGGCGAAAGAAAAGGAGCTCCGCCTGCGTCTCCTCTGCGTTGTCTGAATGGGCTGGTAGGACGACGGACCGCCGGAGACGGACGAGGTCGAGGACTCGAGCGAGGAGGCCGGGCTGGGGCGCGGGGTCTTTGGTCGGGACCATGCGTCGAGCCAGGGAATTCCGGTCGCGCCTGGGGGTTGGGTGTGGAGGAGGTAGGCGGTCGAGAGGAGGGATGTCAGAGAGAGGAGGGAGGTGAGCGGGGCGGAGAGGCGGGCGAGGTTTATGAGGTAGGGGATCGTTGTTAGGAGGGGGAGGGCGAGGAGGGCGGTTGCGAATTGGGCGTTGCGGGCTGCGTTATCTTCTGCGAGGCGGCGGATGAGGGTTTCTTGTTCTAGGTTGGGGGGTTGGGTGTTAGCTTTTGATGTAAGACGGAATGGAAAGATGAAGAGTGAGGGGAATGGGATGGCTTGGGAATGAGGTTTTTGTGTCTTTTGCGTCGTACCCTCTTCGTCCATGGCTTCTGGCTGTGAGTCTGCCGAGTCGTCGTCTGTAGGATAGTGGAATGTACGCCGCAGACGAGCGGCTGCGCCTCGAGGTTCTGCCATTTTAGTATAGAGGTTGTCAAATGCGCGATGAGCTGCAGCGGGTTGCTGGTGTTTTGTAATGATGTCGTAGCTGTTAAAGGCGCAAACACTTGGTCTACGTATCGACAAGTCCAGTCGATGAAGACAGATTTGTAGAAGCCTGGGTAGGTAGCTACGTAAGGTATCGGTGCAATAGGTGTAGATGGAGCTTACCTACCTTACCTCTAGCAGAGGGGGCCGTGACCGACCACTCAGCCTTATGACGCGCGACAGCTGGACAATGTGCGACAGGGGTCTTGGGTCCAGGGTCTGATTGGTTACTGTTTATCGATTGCTTTTTTTCTCTGCTTTCCAAATGCCCGCGCCAGGACCCCGGGAATTTTCGAGAGAGAGCTTTGGCCCGCCCACCGAGAGTCGAGACCGACCGACCGAACTGACCGAACTTGCATGGTCTGATTCGGAGCATCCCGAGAATTTGACCTAGACGCAACGCCCGGTATCACGAAATTCGAACCGACCACACCCACCGACGCGATAGCCCCGACTTCACTCGTAGGACGCTTTCGATTCCACGGGGAGTTTCATTTCCAGCATGTTCTCAAACACAGCTACCAGGAGGCTCGCCTCCTCGCTGCGCAGCGCCGCCGCGAGGCAACGGCAGCAGCCACAGCAGCTCAGAGCGCAGGCTCAAAGGAGATGGGCGACCGCAGCGCCGAAGCCCGGGTCCGGACCGCTGATGGAGCGGCGCGCAGATCGAGAACTCCCAGGTAAACTGCTCGTCTTTCTCCCTCCCTTTCCCTCTTCTCTCTTCCCGTTGTCATCCATCCGCTAACCACCACAATTCTTTAAACAGACCTCAACCAGATCACCTTCCGCTGGTCCCGCACCCTCCCCCTCTTCGCCGCCGCCATCGCCCTCAGCAGCATCGCAATCTTCAACTACCAAAAGTCTTCCTCACCCGTCATCGCCTCGACCCTCTACGCGCTGCGCACCTCCCCGAAAGCCCGTGAGTACCTAGGCGACGAGGTGCAGTTCAAGCACCAGATCCCCTGGATCGCCGGCGAGATGAACCAGCTCCACGGGCGCATCGACATAAGCTTCAGCGTCAAGGGGTCCCGCAACGAGGCCGTCATGAAGTTTGCCAGCTTCCGGACGTCGCACAAGGGCCTGTTCGAGACGACCGAGTGGAGCTTGGAGACGCCCGACGGGCGCAAGATTGATCTGCTCGACGGGGCGGATCCGTTCAAGGGGTCTATTCCGGGTGATGATTTGAGTGATGATGATCTCGAGGCTGTGGTGTCGGCGGCGGAGACGAGGGGTTTCAGGCAGAATATCAAGTGAGTGAGAGAGACAAGGAGGACCGTTGAATACAGGGCAGCACTACAGTCACTTCAAGGTCTCGTGAAGGGAATCGTCATCAAAAGCATGCATGGGTTCGAGGTAGTTCAAGTCATTGGGTTGGAATTCGGGTCGGGCGAGATAATGACCCTAAAGCTATGCGCCTCTCTCAATGGGGTGATAAATGTACAACATGTATAGTACACAGACTTTCGTAAACAACAGTAGGGGAAAAGGGGGAGGGTGGACGATATCTATACAAGTGCCGGGAGCTCTTTCCTCTCCTTCTTCAGCACCAAGTGCCTCTCTCTGGCCTCCTGCAATCTCGCCTCGCCATCCACGTTGGCCTCCAACAGCTCCTTCAACTTGTCCTGCCTGTAAGGAAGCGCCGGCGCCTTCCTCTTGACGGCATCCTGCAGCTTGACGATACAGTTCTTGGGGCCCGCGACGGCGCCCTTGACGAGCACGACGCCCAGCTCGTTGTCCACCTTGAGCACCGTCAGGTTCTGCACCGTGACGCGCTCGTTACCCATGCGACCGGGCATCTTCTTGCCGGGCATGACTCTGGAACCGGAACCCTGCGAGGGGCCGGTGGTACCGATGGTGCGGTGGTTGAGCGAGTTACCGTGGGACGCCTCCTGACCCGCGAAGCCGTGGCGCTTCATACCACCGGCGAAGCCCATGCCGCGGCTGTTGGAGCGGACGTCGACGTACTGGCCCGTCTGGAACCAGTCCGGAAACAGCTGGGCGCCGACGGGCAGCAGCCCTTCCTTGGTGCGGACCTTGAACTCGGCCAGGTGGCGCTTGGGCGCGATGCCCTTGGCCTCGTAGTAGCCCAGCATCGGCCTCTCGACGTTGCGCGGCTCCTTGGAGCCGGAGCCGATCTGGACGGCCCAGTAGCCATTGTCCGGGCGGGTCTTGTTGGCGACGACCTGGACCTGGTCGAGCTGGAGGACGGTGCAGGGGACACGCTTCTTGCCGTAGTAGATGGCCGTCATGCCCTTCTTGACGGCGAGGACGCCGGTGCGGAGGGGCGTCGTCTTCTCGCGGCGGGCGAGGGCGGCGGCGGGACCAGTGGTGAGGACGGGGAGGCCGGCGGTGGGCTGGTTGAAACGGGTGGGCTTGCTGCGTTTGGGCGCAGTGGACCAGCCGTACTTTACGCCGCGCTTCGCGGTAAAAGGGAGGAGCTGGAGGCGAGGGGCGATGACGGCCGAGGCATTGGCGGCGGCGGAACAGGTGTTTGATATCGTCGTCGTCGTCGATCGGAGGAGCTGGAGGCAGCTCGGGGGTAGTCGGGGCGCCATGGTGGGTGGCCGGGAGGTGGAATTGAGGGCGGAAAGAGGTGGTCTGGTGTGAGGTCGGCGATGGAATTTTTTGGAGTTGAGGTCGGATCTGAGTGCCTGGGGTGGAAATCTTGAAGTGGTCCGTGCACCTCCCTGAAGTGAAATGGTCACTGAGCTTACCAGGAGCTCATGCCAGGGTCTTTTCTCACTTTTTCAAAGAATAACTCTGCGATCAATCAGGATACTCAAGTAAACATTCCATTTTCTCTATTCAATTGACAGATTCTTGAGAGCAAAGAGCCACTTTACTCCAGCGAAAGTCTTGCTCTACACCAAGAAGACTAAACTTGGCCAAGATGGATAAAACACCCATCATCCATGCTTACAGACATCTCTACCGTGAGCTCCTACGAGCGGTTCAATTCGCACCGCCGCACAGGTACACCGTCCGCAACCAGCTGAGAGCGTCGTTTCGCGATAAAGACGCGGTGTGGGACCCGGAGGTTTCCAAGAGAACACTGTGGTTCATACAGGCGGCTCGCAGAGAGGCCGGTATCGAGCACAAGGTTCTCAAGAACCTCGTCCGCGTGGCTTGGGAGAGGCAGAATATGGATACGTGGAAGGTCAGCTTTCGCAAGGAATCGGAATCCCGGGGCAAGGATGTGTGAGTTTTGCTTTTGATTCGGTTATGAGAGATACGGTTGCTGACGTTGAATTATTCAGCATCCAAGAGGCCAACAACATGAAAGCTACAGTATACAATCACTATGACATGACGATAAACATGCTGAACAAGTCGATGGGTATTCGACTCAGATGATGGTCTCGAGCAAGTCACGGTAGTCTTGATCGAGTTGTCACTCGCACGCCTGCACTGGCTGTCATCAAAGAGTGCAGCTTGACCAACTCCTGGGAATCTCAAACGGTTCCACCTTACTGGAAGTGCAGGCATTGATGGAGACATGTTCATCTCAGCATGCCCAGGCGGGATCATCAGCCCAGATACCACGCTTCGAGGCTTGTTGTGGTGCCAGGGTAGAAAGACGGCAGGCAGAGGACGGAACGGAACACGATAAGCCCGAAACGTCGCGATGCAGTACCTATTCTCTTATCCGATGATAAGCCATTGGAGGAAACTGGCGTTGGGGAGAGAAACGACCGCTGGTGCGACCTTTGCCAGGCGGGCGATCTGCAGATGCGCGGGGTCAGCAAGTGAAACGGCTCACCTGTGGTTGGTTGGCACGTTTGGCTACGTGAAGGTTGGAGCAGCCGTCTAAGCTGTTGATGGTTGCATGGTCGATTATTTGCTCGCGAAGCGCTGCTGGCGCCCGCTTGTATGTTGATTCTTGCTGTTTATGAGCTCATTATTCCTCGCCTCTTGCGGAACGCTGCTTCAGTTTCCCCGAATCGGGCCAGAGATCTTGAGACAGTGTCATTCAACAGAGAAAACCCGTCGGGAGGTTGATGGGGGCATATGAATAGGGACCTAGATGGCTGCACCTCGGAGGCAATAACGTTTTGTCGTACATGGCGGGCGTTCTGCCCCAAATGTTGAGAAGTAAGCGAGAAGTGAGGTGCCCGACCTTCACGGACTGAGCTGAGGGCTGAGGGGGAAGAGTTGAGGCGAACCCCCGTGTACACCCCCCGTGTCGGAGCCAAGAGTCTCGGCCGCCAGGGCGGTGGTGGTCGGCCCTTTGCCGGTACGGGGAGATATATAAAAAGAGTGGTTCCCTTGGGAATCTGTTTTTGAGTACCAAAAATACCCAATTCGGAAACAATATGGCTCGCCCCGTGAAACCGACCCGCTGTTGTCGTAAGGTGGTCGACCGAGTTGTCCGCCTGGACAAGTACGATATTTCCAAAGCTCGGGTGAGAAAACACTCTGTGACACTAGAGATAGCCCGCCAGGGAGAGAACTGGGAGAGGCGTCACTGGCAGTCTGGCTTGTGACGGTGGATTCTTGAGATGGCAACACTGGCCAATCTGAGCTGATTGGTGTTAGCGGCCGCTACCGGGAAGAACAAATGAGAAGCGCAGGATCGTTGGAGATCCAACGGGGCCCTGGTCTCGTTTCAGTGGACCCAGACACTAAGGTAAAGGTATCTTCTGCTGGTGCTACTGCTGCTACGAAGTGAAGTGCGTGGGTGCGTCCTGGAGATACCAATCAGCAATGGTACGACTGGTCGCTCAGCGGGGCCGAAGGGGGGCCTCCCAGGTGCGGAAAGGATGCAGCTTTCCGCACCACGAACTGCCCTGGTCCTGCAGCTTTGGAATGGTCGTGGTTTTGAAGGTACCTCCTGATACAACCATCGCAGAGTCGGAACCTCACCCGGTCACTTGAAGTTGAGTGAAGAAGGGGGAAGACGAGGGGGGGGGCAAGGTGCTGAACTGAGCTTGCCTTGAGGTCAGGGAAAGGCAAGGTTGGGTGCTGTATAGGTTGTGGCTGTAATCGTACCTTCAACTAAGTACTTAGCTGAGGTGCCCCTACGAATACAACGGTCTGTGATGCGGATGTATCTTTCTACGCCGTAGATTCCCACTGCCGACCCCGCAATCCGAGTTACCTCTGAAGTATCCGTAGTTCACGCCTACCTTACCCTTCGATGATTCTTCCCTTCTTCTCTCTTTCATCTTAACCCGCAAATCTCTCATGGTTAGCGGGCACAACAGCGTCAATTCCCGGGGGTTCAGCTCTCGATTCCCCAGACTGCCTTGAGACAGCTCTTTTCACATCTCTGACCGCTCGACTCGTCATCAACATCATCGTCTCTGTTTCCCTACTGCTTCTCGCCGTCTATCCTCCAAACTTCGCGAGCCCGTCATCCCGTCGCCCTGTTTGTCGCTCGTCTACGCCATCACCCCAACTCCACCTGCTGCGCGGTCTGGATGGACCAAACCCCAACTAGCAAAGGGCCGTATCACGACCGCGCTGAAGACTTTGATCTCTCGCCACGAGATCACCGTCTGAAGGCGCTGCCATCTCGTCACTGCTAGAAGCATGCCAGCGACAGAAGCCGAATATCACCAGATACATCATGTTCCGGCCCGCCAACCGACTGCGATCATGCCTCGAGCTCAGGAAGAGCGCCCGCAGAGGCTGGTCAAGCGCTATCGCACCGAGATCGCCGCCAGCACGTCGAGTATGTTCTCGACTGTCCTTGCATTTCCCCTCGATAGCGTGAAAACGCGAATGCAGACCTACCGATACGAAGGCTTCCTCGATTGTGTGACGCACACATACCGCACCGAGAAGTTGAGAGGCTTCTTTCGGGGTAAGGAGTCCCTCATTCCCTCTGTCCCTCTTCCTCCACCTCCCTTGTACACGCGACCCCTCATCTCGCCTCAAGTCATGATCCCATTGACTAACCTTCTTTTGCCCCTCACTAGGCGTCCTTGCCCCAATGGCCAGCATCACACTTGTCCGAACCATGTCCTTTTCGATTTACCAACGCGCCAAACACAATTACTCGGGCTGGGTTAAGAACGCCCTGGGATTCGACGTGCTGCAGCATGTGAATCAGAAAGGCACATATCCGAATCTGTACTCCATTGCCTGTTTTGGAGCCGCCGGCGCCACTGCCGGCTCATGTATCACGCTTCTCGCCTGCCCCTTTGAGCTCACCAAGCTCAGCGCGCAGGTGGCTGTCTTGTTGTCAGACCAACAAAAGCTCAAGGAAGCAAATTGCCGCGCCACCAATGGCCACCAGGTTGCAGCAAGCTACCAAAATAAGGGCACTTTCAAGACCATGCGCAACATTGTTCGTCATAGGGGTGCTCTGGGGCTTTACACTGGCTTCAACTTGCACTTGTGTAAGTCTGCCCAGGCGTACAACCCCATCAAAACCCTCAGCTGACCATTTCAGTGCGAGATACTTTGGGTACGGCCATTTACTTCATGGTCTACGAGAGCGGAAAGCAGCTCGGAACTACCTTTGGTGGTGACCACCCGACGACTAATAAGTTCGCGGTTGTCATCTCTGGGGGCATGTGCGGGATAGTATCCTGGGCAATGATATGTATGTGCTTTCTGGTGCAAAAGAACCTCGGGCAAGTGATGCTAATACTCTGGCAGACCCGATTGACTCGGCAAAGAGTATCTACCAGCGAAACTCTCTCTTGTACTCGAAAGGGCAACAGGTTGAGCCGCCGCCGAAGATTGAATTCTTCAAACGAAATATGTATCGCGGACTAGGGGTTTCAATGGGTCGCTCATGCGTCGTCAACGCCATCTTTTTCTCCGCTTTCGAATTCACAAAAAAGCATCTAAACTCCCTGGATGACAACTAAGGAATGATGATTTGCATGAACTATCTGCTAGCTATGCAAATCGCAGTTGAACAAGCGCATACATAATGATCGATGGCGTTTTGGCTCGGTGGATGATGTGGACCACCGAGCATACTTGGGACAATGGAGTGGAAGCAAGGACAGAAACCAAGTTGTAGTTTGGATTCGACTGCAATCAAATTATAAGTTATTGAAAGAGAATTGCGATGCTTCGTTTGGTGACCTCAGGCTGCCCAGTGTGCGGGATACGACATCTGTTCATGCCTTTAACATCGGGCACCTTATAAGCAAGTGAGGGTCTAGACGCATCCTCTCACAAAGTTTTGATCGAAACAACCTCGGTTTACCCTTTTGGACCTCCCTTGCTCAGCCTCTTGACGATTCCTTCGTACCTACCTTACGGGCGCTTAATCTCGGTATATGATTTTAGACAAGGTAGGCAATTAAGCATGCCTAAGTTCGCGCACCTGGCTGAAGATCGGTGGGCCCGTGCATCAACACCCCGCCACTATCATCACGTGCCGATAGTACCTCGCAGGAATCTGAGTTGCGACCCGACCTCTTTTGGGCCTTCCTGCGTCTGCGTCTTCAACGGGCACTACTCTGCCTCAACCAGCCCTGGCGTTTCCGTCGTGACTTGTGACCTTTTGCTTCCACGCATTTAGCATCCAAGCACCACCGTCCGCGCGCGCCCTTTATCCGAGTGCAACGAGCTCCTGCCGCAACTGATTTTGACGAGTCGCATATTTCTAAGTCTCCGCCGACTGGAAATTGGAACTTTCCTTCTTGTCTACCGCTCTGCGTGATCCCTGCTTTTACCGTTTCCTTCGCGCGCAGCAAGTACCTACTTACTTGCTGACGTCGACGCCTTCGGGAAGAAGGTGCAACTTTGCAGACGCGCCTTCCTGGCCTGACGTACTTGACTTGGGACACCGCCCCGTCTCCGTGTTGGCTCTGGTGCGAGACAAAGATTGTCATTCTTCTCACTAACTGTCGTTTTCCATCATCTTTTTTCTTTTCCCGAGGGGCAGCTTTAGACGGCATTTGGTTTCCGAACCACCATGGTAAGCTGATAACAAAGGAGGATCATCAGACATGGGGAGAGAGAAGAAACCACACCCCGGCCCGGGTACCACGGCCAAGGACCGCCACCGCAAGGCTGGCAAGATCAACAAAGCCATTGACCGAAGCCAGCCGTTACCGCCAGGACTCGTCGCTGCGAAGCCGGTTACTGTGGTCAACAACAGCAAACACCAGTCATATTTCGAGTTCATCGAGAACAAAGATAAGAAGAAGCCTCTGCTCTTCCAGGTATGCCGCGCCGAGGCGGTTCCCTCGACACTTGCCGACCACCGAACTAACCAACACTGCGCCAGATTACAACAAACAAAACCCCGCCTCCTGGGATGAGGCATATCCCCCTTGGCAATCCTGAACTGACCGAACGATGCAAGGACATCTCGAGAGAGACTGGTGCCTCGGTCTACATTGTGGTAAGACGATGCCGAAAACTAACAGCCGTCAGGAACGATGATTGACTAGTTGTGATCTAGACCATGGCCAAGAATAACGCCTCGGACTTGAGCCAACAAATACACCGTGTCGGACACCATATTCGCGAGTATATCGTGGACAGGGCGCTAGAGGAATTAGGACTGGACAGTGTCAACGAGCCGGAACTCATAGGTCAAGGCGACGCTCAGGTTGAGAAGATTCCCGAGAAACAAAACGATATCGACAAGCAGGCAGACGCCGCCCTACGAGAGCTATTCCCTCGCATTCCGAACACGGACCGACAACAAATCATCGATCATGCCTTCCAAAAGGTTTGTGATGCCGTGAGGTTTAGGGGTGAAATGGGTAGGTGCTAACGAATTACTATAGGGAACAAAGTTCAAAGGCGACCTAGTCGTAGGACTCCAGCAGGAACTATCTCTGTCGCGGCGAGTGCAGCTTGCTGTCTTGGCACACATTCGACATAACCATACCAGATATGATCAGCTTCTTAGGGAGACAACCTGGCACAATGCCAGGCGAGTGACAGAACAGCTCTGTCTCGACTTCCTCGTCAAGTGGCGAGGCGACGACGAGAATGGCCGCGATCAGCTTGACGAAATCCTTCGCGAGGTAGTGGTTCTCTCCGATGATTCTGACGAGGAGGACTCGGACGAGGAGCCTGACTCCGACTCGTCAGAGGTTCTCATCACCAGGTCCAACAACATTGGCAGATTGTCGACACCGGCCGTAGCCCAGAACGCCGCTAACCGCGATAAACGCTTGTCGACAGCGATACCGTCGCATCCAGGATCTCCGATGCTTGTTGCCACGCCCGGGATGTCCAGGAGGGCTTACAAAAAGGCACGCAGACGGGCCAAACATCGTGAGCGTAACTTCAGTCGTTATGAGGCTGCTGCAAACGCTGCCTGGGATAATGCCAGACAGCGGCAGCGTGGGCCCGATGATCGCATGAACCAGGCGGGCAGCTCCGTTAGTCACGGAGCGCATCAACAGGGTCCGCCTGTTGAATTCATCGAGAACAGAGCCCCCATGGAGCGTATCAATCATGCGGGTTCGCAGATGAGGCTGCCTCCTGCACCCCCCAACAACGCAGGTGCCCGCGCTCGAGAGTGCCACCAGCTGCAAGATTTCCTCCACCCGTCCATTGAGCCAAGATCCCCTGACGGCGTGAGATCACCATCACGCTATTCCCATGGCGTGGTGGAATTCACAGACCGAAGAGGTCATGAGCTATATCCGCGTCTGAACTCCCCTCCCCGTGGCCCACTGATACGAGAGGAGCGCTATGTCCAACAAGCCCCCATTCACCAAAGCCATCCCATCCATGCGAGACCTTTGCGTGATGGCCAGGACATTGTTCAGCCGCCTGTATTATCATACCGCAATGTGCCACAGGATTCCCATCGGCCACTTGTGTATCAGCAGCCTCTGCGAGACCAGGGCCCTCCCCGACCTCAGGTTTACGCTGATAGAATCATCCACC